TATGTGTGTGTGTGTGTGTGTGTGTACGTGTGTTTATGTGCATACACACGAACGTGTTTGTATTTGTATGTATCTATTTGTGTGTGTGTGTGTGTGTTTGTTAGCCTGTGTGGCGAAATATTAAGTCACTGAAGGATGTCTTTGTTTTTTGTTCTGGTAAGAGCCTCACGGCGCTTGCAACTCAATATGGTCATATGGGAGTTTGGGACAAATAAAACAATATCAGTTTGAAAGGAATTATTGTTGAATTTTTATCGGTGGCAGCCGAAGTCCACTCTTACCGATTTAAGAACCACAATGGGATCTTTAACGAGGCAACCTGTACATAGGACCTCCGAGATTTTTTCACCCTTATATCCAAGAAGGCTAAACTATCGATTTGACTTACTTTAAGATCAAGGGTGTAGATGAAAGACAGTAGCAGTAAGAAGGGGCCAGGAGCAGCAGTACAAATAATCGTGAACTCAGGGGAGGGGGCAGACAGTGGAGATGAAAGCAGATGACAGAACATGGTTAGAGAGAAGAAAAGGAGGTGAAAGTAGAACATTTTAGAGAAGGGAATTTTCTGTCGCTGTCAGGTAGTGGCGTCCAAAAGAAACTTGAAAATGTAAACACCCAATCATCGTGTTAAAACCTTGCACTACCCACTCATGCAACACACCAATTTAAAGTTTAATTAATTCTGCATCATCTGACTTATTAATATTTCATCTATGTTTAGAAACGCCCGAGATGTGGTTGCTAAAAATTGACCTGAAAAATCAGGCGTGGCAAAATTGTGCAAAAACAAAGAAACGTAACATTGTCTTGGGGCGAGTATTGAGAAGTACCAGCATTAATAGAATATACATACATTGCAAGTCCAATGAATGGAGAATTTTGTCTCTGCAACAAACAATATTTTATTTCGATACTTTCAAACTAAATCAAAAACAGAGCAATCACAATTACAAGGCTAAACTTGGACTCAACATTAAATGTATTAACGTTATTCTGTTTGTTTTATTCCGGAAATGAACACTTTGGACATTTTGTTCTTTTGTATTTTGCACATAAATATCTGCCATTTCAGCCCAAATGTCACAGACAGTTGCAAATAAAGGATCTGAATGAATTGGGAGCAAAGTCGATTTTCTTTTGCTGTTGTTTCATATGGGACTTCTGATACCTGTAGGATACATATTCAGACTATTTACGGGTGACGACTCCTACGCTGACATGATTTGATTTTTCCAAGAATTGTTTAGTGGCTTGAGTATCTCTGACTGCTCTGTTTTCTAATCTGTTTGAAAATATCACTAGAAGATGCTATTCATTTAAGGTAGGTCTATTGCTTGAAATTGGCAAAAAACATCACTTGGTTATCGAATTTTCATGATTTGTTTAGAATGATTTTTACAACCCTTGGTGCACCAGAAATCATGAAAATTGTGGTTGTTTTGAAGTCCCACATATTTTTTTAAAAGTTTATTTATCACCCAGGGGTGTGTTTTGTTTACCCTAGCAATGCAGGTAAATAATCTTATTTCCACATTTTCATAATGATTCTCATTCCCGAAAAGGGGAAAAGTGCGAAACTTTCATTTACTGAAGTATCTAGAGGAGGACATAAAGGGAAGCCACTCTGTCAAACACAAACAGTTGAGGAAAAGTGAAAGTAAGCTGAGAGCAATCGAACATTGTTTTTGGTTTGTTTTTTGTTTTTTTCATTTTTTGCACTTTCACTTTTTGCAGTATGTTGGTAGGCTTTCTTTCATGCATGATAACTCATCAACCATTTGTTGGATTCCCTTGAATTTCGGCATACGTACATATTGTTGCTTGATTATAATCAATATTATTCATGTACATCGATATTTTCAACCTCTATCACCCCTCATGATGGGGGAAATTGTGTAACAGATTACGTCATGAAATTTCTCTATGCCAATGCCTAGCCACTTCCCCTTAGTCCAAATTTAGAAACACATTCACAGAAGCACACAGACAAATTTTGATTGAGATCTGAGATTTTTTTTTTACCTGAGTTACAATGTTTTAAGTTTCGCCACTATACAACCTATATCGGCGGCCATATTGGATTAAGAATCAAGAAATTTTATTTTTAACGCTTTCATTATCGTATTTCAACATAAAAGTACAAGGAACTTCCATAGGAATCAACATATATTCAATTTACTGGAAAATTGTGTCCAAACCTTAGACCTGTTGTCAGTTTTGAGTGACCATATCTCTGGCTTTTCTTAGCATAAATTAACTATTGTGTATTAATGTGTCAGATGATGCAGATTTTATTTAGCTTTAAATTGGAATGCTGCATGAACGAGTAGAGCAAAGCTTTAACACAATGATTGGGTGATTACATTTTCAAGTTTCGTTTTGACGCCACTGTATATGTATATAAATATAACACACACACACACACACACACACACACACACACACACACACACACACACACACACACACACACAAACACACACACACACCTGGCACTCGTTAAATGGTTATCGATTAGTACAACCCAACCACTCTCTTCTCTCACAAGGTCATAGCCTGCTATTGTTTTTTTAAATGAAAGCTGTCCTATTTGATGGCCATCATTTTCCTTCACTTACAAGACCTTGCAAATGGTGCTTTTTAATAGATTGAATAATGAATATGTTCCGAGCAATTGACTGATCGAATAATTGCGTGGCAATTAAGATTGTCCAGCAATCTTATGATTGCGCAGCGCGTTTCAATGATCGTATAATTGAATCATTCTTCTGAGCTTTTCAGTTTCATGTCTTAACTTTAATTTCATTTTTAATTTTCATATTTTTACACTTTTGAAAATATCCGTGAATGTTCCTTGGTGCGAGTAAAAGAATAAACATGGAAGTGAAAAAAAAATATTTAAAAAATATGAAATAAATAAAATGTGAGTTTGATACCTTGCATTGTATCATTCTTGTGGGTTTTTCAGTTTCATACATTTTCAAAAATTTTAATTCTAATTTTAATTTTCATATTTTGACACGTTTGAAAATATATAGATCTAATTGATCTGAAATTAAGAATACAGATGGAAGTAAAAAAAAAAGAGTTAAAAATAAGGTATAAATCAAATAAATTTGAATTTGATACCTGGCATTGTCTCATTCTTGTGAGCTCTTCAGTATATATTAATTTTAATTTTTATATTTTCACACTTTTGAAAATATGTGTGAATGTTCATTGATGTGAGTAAAAGAATAAAGATGGAAGTGAATCAAAAGAACAAATATGGAAAAAATATAAAATATTAACATAATCTTCAGATTACTGAGCAGTTATACGATCGTTAAAACGCGCAGCGCAATCAAGGTTGCCCGATCAGTAAATTGAGCGGAACAACTATAATATTGATAGTAATAGTATTAGTAGTAGTTGTAATCATAATAATAATAATAATAATAATAATAGTGGTTTGTAGCATACATGTCCTTTCGTTCAGCAAAATATTAGAACACGTAGAAAGGCAGCGAGCATAATCCTGTTGTCACATGAAGCGAGATACACACACAAATAAGGCCTCAGGACGAGACATGACATTCGTACATTCACTCGACAGGTTGGCGACTTTCCCTGAACTCTCACTCATGAACTCACGTACTACACATAACAACACACAAGGTTAGTCGCCACACACCTTCCCCCAGCACAGGCGTCTCATGGGATCATTGGTAGCGTGTGGGTGGACGCACTTGACGTCCAGCACGTGTCGTGAGTTGTCGGTGGTGAACGGCCTCAGTATCTTGCTCTCGCCCATCGGTGTTCCTAACGGTAGGCTTTGGTTCCCGTAACACCGGAGGGCGGCCGCGTCGTGCTGGTTACTGTAGATGGACAGGTTGGGTAGGGTCTACCTGGGCAGGCTTGAGGCGATCTACTGAGATGCGTTCCGTGCGGCCCCCGATGTCCAGAAGGAAGGTCTTTTCTCCCGTGGCGAGAACCATGTAAGGACCTGTGTATGGTCTTTGAAGTGAACCTTTCACGGTATCTGTGCGGATGTAAACATACTTTGCTGTTAACAAAGATGGTGGGAAGAATGTGACTGGGTCACTGTGGTGGATAGCCGGTCTAAGCCTAGTGAACTGTGCTTTAGCTCAAAAAGTGGTCAAAAAATCTGTTGTTGACCAGGTAGATGCTTCAGAGGGTAAAAGATCGCCTGGAACGGTCAGTGGCTCGCCATAGACCAGTTCTGCTGATGAATATCCCAGGTCATCCTTGGGAGCGGTTCGTAGCCCAAGGAGTACCCAAGGAAGTTCTTCCACCCAGTGAGTCTGGCCTTCAATGCCGTTTTAAGTGAGCGATGGAACCGTTCGATCATTCCATTTGCTTGGGGGTGAAAAGCCGTTGTTCTGTGTAAGTGGACTCCCAGGCGTTGAGCTATATCAGTCCAAATTGCAGAAGTGAATTGAGATCCTCGATCCGATGCTATATCGGCAGGAACACCAAAACGGGAGATCCAGCCTCCTATGAGAGCGTTAACACATTCGTCTGTTGTTATGTTAGGCATATGGATCCCCTCTGGCCATCGTATGTTGCGGTCAATAATAGTTAAAAGATACCGTTGACCACAGGACTGAGGAAGTGGACCCACTATATCAATATTGATGTGCGAAAACCGCTTGTCGGGTACTCTAAATGTCTCTAGAGGAGCACGGGTGTTTTCTGGATTTTCGACGTCTGGCATTCGTGACACTGTTTCACCCTAATGCGGACCTGACGTCGTAGGACATGCCACACAAACTTTTCAGAGATGTTCTTCACGTGAGAGATAATCGGCAACAATGTTTGTCTTCCCGGATTTGTGCCTGATGTCAGTGCTGAATTCCGAGATAGCAGACAGCTGTCTTTGCTGCCGGGCTGACCACAAGTCTGTAGTTTTTGACATTGCAGAGACCAACGGTTTGTGATCGGTGTAGATAATAAATTGCCTACCTTCCACCATGTACCGGAAATGGCGTATTGCAAGGTGTACACCTAAAAGCTCTTTATCAAAGGTGCTGTATTTCATTTCCGGCTTACGTAGTTGCTGGCTGAAAAAGGCGAGAGGCTCCCAACGACCATTCTTGTATTGCTCGAGGACAGCATCGACTGCCACATCAGATGCATCACAAGTTAAATAAATGTCAACACTCTTTGTGACTTGACGAGGACTTTAATAATCAAGCACAATAAAGACATACGTCATACGATGCATGACTGGGACAGAAACGGAACAGAAATAAAGCAGATGAATATGATTGACAAATAAGGGAAATAATAATAATGGACACAAGGAACAGATACGAATGACGGCACATACATGTGGTCTTGTAGCTACTGAATGATATTCCTCTACGCCCCCCCCCCCCCCCCAAATCTTTGGAGTAGAACAGATAAGACTGATGTAATGTCAAGAAATAATGGTGATATAACAAGGAACAAATGATTGATCACTGAATGTCTGAATCAGACTAAGATTTAGAGTCAATTGGCTTAGGGCTCTGTCTGGCCAATAGTCTTGCTGATCGCCAAGGGCCGCCCGGAGGCGTGCTCACGCTTATGGGAGCATCTTGCTCTTGTATGCCAGGGGCGTTGTGCGGCTGGAGCGAATGTAGAGCACGCGGGGTGGCTTGAGCCTGAGGTTGAGGAACCACCGTCTCGACAGCAGGGCGTGGATCAGGTGTTAATTCTTGCCCGGATTCGGGAACAGTAGGCATCGATGGATCGTGTGCTGGGGGGTCCTGAACGCCAGCTGGTTGCGGTAGATCCGGGCAAGGAGAGGGCGGCGAGGTCACGCTGGTCTTGGCATGCCCGGGGATGTGAACATTCTGAGGCACCGGCTGTGGTGGTGAGGTGCCACCCGGGATCATTGTCAGTGGTGAGCGTGGGACCACAGGCATGTAGTTGCGGAGGAACTTTCTGTTGCGAAGAGTGATGCGGCCAGAGCCATCCACTCGAACGAAGTACTGGTCAAATTGACGTACTTCGACTACAATGCCCGTCTTGTCCCATTTGGTCGGGTGGGTTCCCGTTTGGTTCTGTATGCGCACACAGTCACCGACGACGAGTGGAGGTAAGATGCGAGTGTGCTCAGAGAGGCGCTCAGCGGTGCACATGTGCCGGTTCCTCAGTGCCTCCTCTCGCGACAGAAGGGTTTCACGCCAGATACTGTGAGGCTGATACTTCCCTGGGTGGATGGGGATGAAGTCCCGTATTGGACGTCCAAAGATACACATCGCTGGGGATAGGTGGGTGTCACGATCAGGAGTGTTCCTGTATTACAGCATTGCGCGCTGGAACTTGTCAGTGTTTAAAGATCCTTGTGCACCCGTGTTGTCAATGATCAACCGTTTCACTGTCTTTACTCTAACTTCAGCGCGACAATTAGAGTGGGGAATGGCGACTGAGGAGACCCTGTGGTGGACACCCCAGTTGCCAAGGAAGGTGGAGGTTGCCAGGGACGTGAACTCTAGGCCTCCGTCCGATGTCAGTTCATCACTGATGCCATACGTGACGAAGATGCGACGCAACGCGGCAACGAGGCCGGCAGATCCATGGGAGGCTTCTTCAACGATAGGCCAGTTACTGTACCAGTCGACAGCAACTAGGTAGCTGTGGCCTCGATGATGAAAATAATCCGCCGCAATACATTGGAACGGGTATGCCGGTGCTATTGGAGGGGTGGGAGGTGCACTCGGCTGGGAAGGTGCCATGCGGTTGCATGACTGACAGCGGGCTCGCACGTCAGTGATGGCCGGGGTCATGCCAGGCCAGAAAAACGAGGCCTCAGCTCGAGAGCACATTTGGGACACACCCTGGTGAGCAGAGTGTAAAGACTGGAGGACTCGCTCACGGAGCAACGAGGGGATGACTACCCGGTCGTGGTACAGGATGATACCATTAAATGTCGTGAGAAACTCACGGAATTGATGGTATGGGCGAAGATCAGGGGACTTGTAGAGTCGCTGGATATTGCAAGTCGAATCTCGTCCCAAGTCAATGACTTGATCACCTTAGTTGGAGAGAGGTCAGGTTTGGAGCATACCTGGTTGGTGTCATCCAGTTCCTGGGTGCGGATGGCTGAAAGAAAGTCGTGTGGCAGTTCAGGTGTCAAGGGAGGGTCATCAGGGAGCAGAATGGGAGCAGCATCATCAGGGAGCCTGAGAGTGTTAGGGCTGCCCACTGGTCTGTGGGAGACGGCATCTGCTGCAGCATGGCGTAGATCGGGGATGTGGACGATGCGGAAGCGATATCTAAGGGACTTCTCCTTGAGGTTCCTGAGGCGGGGATTGGGGATATCGTCGAGACACCGGTCCCCAAACGTCTCCAAAAGAGGTTTGTGGTCCACCGCCACGATCAGGTCGGAACAACCCAAGGTGAAATGGCGTGCTTTGTCTAGTGCATCAACCACAGCCAGGGGCTCACCTTCTATGGGCGCATAGCGGGACTCGGCTCCTGATGTTAATCGACTACCGACCAGGGTGATCTTCCAGCCAGTTTTGCAGCAAAATGGCTTTTTCCGAAAGACATGTACAATGTTTCTGGAAGAGCCAGAAGCCTATGCCATCCTTGCTCCAGTCGGTGGCTAGGCAAGTTGGTTTCTTCTTGTCAAATATTTCAACCTTTTGGTGGATTTCGTTGATGATGGCCTCCTTTGACCATTCAAACAGACGGTCGAGCTCCTCTGTCCATTCGAGGCGCTTTCCCGGCTTCAGGGCTTCCCGGAATGGGAGCATGCGTTCAGCGGAAGCGAAGGCATAGGATACCTGATTGATGAGACCGAACCAGCTCCTGACGTCGGTGATGTTCCGAGGTGTGGGGAACTGTCGAATGGCCTCCAGGTAGCGGGCACATGGGCGTACGGTGGAGGGAGTTATTTCGAAACCTGCAAACTCAACCGTAGTTTTGGCGAATTGAAACTTGGATGGGTTGAGTATGATGCCATTGGTGCCACATAGGTCAAGCCACTTGACGGCCTGAAAAAAGGCTTCCTCAATAGAGTTTGACCACATAAGGGTGTCGTCAATGCATTTGGTTTTGTGTGGGAAGTCGGCAACGATCTCATCGAAGCGGCGGCTGTATCCATCCCCGGATGACATGTAGCCTTGAGGGGCCACGAGATAGCGATAACGAACCCATGGGGTGATAAACGTCGTCAAATGTCTATCCTCTTCAGCAAGAGCGATGCTATGGTAGCCATTCCACGCGTCAAAAACCGATTTCCTCGTGTAGGGTGGCACTTTGCGGGCCTGGTGGAAGGGAGACTGAGTGTGGTGTGTCTCCCGCGCTGCATGTCGGTTAAGCGGTTGGAGGTCAACCGTGCGCCTTGGTTTACCCGACTTCTTCGGACAGATCACCATCTTGTGACACCAGGTGACTAGGGTGCCGACGGGGACAGGCTCGATGACCCCCAGTCGCACATCTTGATCTAGGCCGGCTTTGACCTCGTCTTGCCAATGGACAGGGACAGGGATGGGGGTGTGGTGGGCCACGGGACGGGCGTCAGGGTCCACCATGAGGTGGATCGGAGGGCCAGACATCATCGGTAGAGGTTGATGTTCACACACGTTGAAGGTACTGGACCTGTAGTGATCTAGGAGCCACTGCTCCAAGCCCTCTCTGTTCTCTTCTGTGGCAGGAAGCGGGAGGGAGGTTGGTGGTGGCGGAGGGGATTGGCGGCGTGAGCACCCGCAAGCCGGCTTGTCCTTCGAATTGATTGCTGCACTGGTGGCGCCAATGATCGGAAAGCTAGGAGGGATTATTCCCAAAGCCAAACAGGCTTGCTTGCTTAGGAACACTCGACCAGTGGATGTGGTGAAGTACACCATCTGGTGGGTCACCAGCTTGGTGTTGGACGGAGATGTACCAGAAATACGAAGGGGAAGGGCTCCGATGATGTCAATGGCCCCACGATTCGCAGCTGTCATCTTCATGTTGACAGGGAGGAGATGACGGCGAGTGAGGCTCACCCTAGTCAAGAGTGCTACGCCCGCCAGGCACGACTGCCACCCAGTGTCTGCCATAGCTTGGTACTTGACGGGAGAGGTGCTGCCTCTCAGAGATGGCGGGAAGCCGAGAGATTTGGCGTCTGAACGCACTGCCTGGATGGTGACGTTCACAAAATGCTGATGGTCGGATGCTCGCTTCTCCCATGCCCTGCAAAACTCGTATACATGATGGTCTAGGGATACAGAGTGCGCATTAGACACCGGTGTGGCGGAATCTGCACCGCATAGACTGTCAAAGGTGGCAGCAGAGTCATCCAGGGCATTGGTGGGGTTGCGATTCCGTGACGACTGTCGGCAGAGGTTGGCGAAATGATTGGATAGGCCACACCTGGTGCATCTTTTACCAAATGCCGGACACTTCTTCATACGTTACTGTCTACCATTCCCATGGTCCAGTTTGCCGCAGTAATTGCAGGGGAACGCTTGGCCCTTACTGTGGAACAAGTTGCCCTGTGTGCCGAGTTTCTCACTGCGCTTGTAGGAGCTTGTGGCCGCTGCCGTGGTGTTGGAGCAGCTTTCAACGAGGCGACTGGCTGACCTCTTGCCACTCTCCTTCGCCTCCACGTAGCAGAGTGCATCCTCAAGGGACATGTCCTGCTTTGACTCACCTAAGATGTCGAGTCGGATCTCCTCATCAATTAGACCTCGGATGAGGACGTCACGAATCATCATATCGCTATAGTTCACGCTGGGTTCGTGGACATCTGGAGGGCACCTAGGGCATTATATCTTGAAGTTGCAAACCCCAGCATGGCCCATGAGGCGGGCGGCGAAGGCTCTGACAGGCCCGTCCCGGTCTTGCCTCATTTGATGTAGCTGTACCCGTGCTACCATGATGTTTTCCTGGCGCACCGCCAGGCTCTTGATGTTCTTCGCTGGAGGCTAGGGCGCCGAATGTCCTTGTGAGATCTTTTCGTAGCGACTCATCGCAGCACTCGAGAAGCTGGAAGACGATGTCTGCGCCAGTGAGGCGAGTCGTTTGTTTGTAGTCGGCCCACCGTTGGGTGAAGTATGACCACGCCTCGCTCGTTCAGGATGCAGACACGGCAGGGCGTCGCACTTTCTCAGCCTTGGCTGCCGCAGTCGGTGCATTCGCTCGTGTTGTATGGGCTGTGGTGGCGTGGATGTCAATGAGGCGTGTCAACACCTCGGTCGGCGTAGATGCAGGCCACACCACGTCGCAGCCCGGGGCAGGGCAAGGGATGGTGGTCATGATGTATCTCTTATGTCTTCATAAATAAATGTCAACACTCTTTGTGACTTGACTAGAACTTTAATAATCAAGCACAATGAAGACATACGTCAGACGATGCATGACTGGGACAGAAACGGAACAGAAATAAAGCAGGTGAATATGATTGACAAATAAGGGAAATAATAATAATGGACACAAGGAACAGATACGAATGATGGCACACACATGTGGTCTTGTAGCTACTGAATGATATTCCTCTACAAGTGAGAGCGATTGGGCAATCTGCGCACGGATGAACCAGAATAGATGCGTTTGCCAAGGCTTGTTTACCCGAAAGGAATGCCTGGTTCATTTCATCGGTCCAACTTAGAGCTTGACGAGGCTTCTGTTTTCAGAGCGTGGTAAAGAGGGTGCAAAATCGCAACGATGTTGGGAATGAAACGATGGTAAAAATTCAGTATACCCAGAAACGCCTGCAGCGCTTTGACAGTATTTGGCTTAGGAAACTTCTTAACGGCGTCAACCCTAGTGGGCATAGGTGATGAACCTGACGCAGAAACCCGATGTCCTAAAAAATCAAGTGATGTAACGTCAAAAAGACATGTTTCCAGTTTAATCACCAATCCATGGTGTCGCAACCGCTGAAAAACTGCGTTGAGGTCGTCGACGTGAGACTGGGCTGATGAACTAGCAACTAGGATATCGTCCAGATATACAAATGCACAATCTAGGTCCTGAAGCACTGTATCCATCAGTCGCTGAAATGTTTGTGCTGCATTCTTTAACCCGAATGGCATCCTCAAGAATTCCCACAAACCAAAGGGTGTGATCACTGCCGTTTTAGGTACGTCCTCGGGCGCCATGGGGATCTGATGATATCCTCGAACAAGATCAATTTTAGAGAAAATGGTCTTACCAATTAGACGAGCAGAAAAGTCCTGAATATGGGGTATGGGGTAACGATCTGGGACTGTAGCATCGTTCAACTTGCGGTAATCTCCTCATGGGCGGGAACCTCCGTCGTTTTTAGGCACAACATGCAGAGGCGATGCCGAGGGGCTGTTTGATTTCCGTATTATGTCCATTTTCTCCATCTCAACGAACTCTTTCTTTGCAGACGCGAGTTTGTCTGGTGCCAGACGACGAGCACGAGCAAAAACAGATTGATCTTTGGTGGGAATAAAGTGTTGCACACCATGCTTGACATCGGCTGAGGAAAAAGTTAAGAGTTCGGGGGGTGGGGGGGGGGGGGGGTTAACACAAACATCATCTCCAACTTCAAATCTTCCTAGCCCGTCTTGAATTTCTTCTTCATTAACAACGATATGGTTTCTCCAATCATAACGGTAAACAGCTCTCACTGATGCTGGGTCCAAACCTGGCCTTGGTGTTGAGTTGTACCAAAACACAGTTTCTTGGGGGGAAATGTTTCCTCTTTCTGCAATGGACTTCACTGTACGCTGGTGTCTCTCAACAATCCCGTTCCCTTAGGCCTATATGCAGCTCTAAACAATGGTTTGATATTCCATTTCTTAAGCATCTGCCAAAACCAATCTGAGTGAAACACTGTGCCATTATCCATTAAGATCTCGCCACTGGTCCTCTCTCTAACATGAGTTTTTCAGCTACTTCCGTCTCGAACCCAGCTGTCTCTCTTTTCGGTTTCTTCCAAATTGCGAATCGCTCTGGGCCACATTCAACAATTGACAGGTATGGCACTTGATGATGGTGAGTTATGTCTATTGCCAATCTTGTCCAGTCTGTAGAGACATCTAGGTTGCCCTCCTCATGGACAACTGGTGCAGGATCGATAGACTGACATTGCTCACAAGCTTGTATGACTTTTTAAACATCAGCACGGCTCGTTTCTGGTAGCACCTTCCGAGCCAAATACAAAGTACGGTGTACCCCCATATGGTGCATATCGTGCAAGTCTTTCAAGTCAAGATGACCAGTAGCACATACGCATGGTTCTGGTTCTCCCTCCTCCATTCCATACCCGCCAGTGCTTAAAAGCACTCCTCATGCACTCTTGTCAGAATGTCTGCTTTGTTCTTTCTGGTCGGAACCAAGGTGATCGACATAACCAGACCAAACTCATTAATTAGGCTTTTCAATATCCCTAATCGTCTCTTCACAATCAACTCAGCTGGCCCTTTGGTGTGCACTCTCCTCTCTTCCGATAGAACAGTTTTGATCCAACCAGCCACCGTTGCTGATTCAGTGATAACTTCGATTTCAGAGATGTTCCACTTGATGGCCATGTTTACACTTTTCATCACAGCCTCCAGCTCTGCTACGTTGATATGATCAAAATCTAAAGATTTCCGAAGCCATGCAGCATCCTCTACCACGTTGCCATTGACCTCAAGTAACACATCATATCCGATACTGCTAGCATCACACCATACGGTTCCTTTTGTTGCTTTAGGCACGGACCATTTGCCTTTGACAGGATCCTCATTAGACAAGCTGCTCAACATTTCCTTCAACATTTTCTCCACTTCATCTTCTACAATCTCCTTCCAATTGGTACCATTTTCCCTTCTCTTTATGTAGCTGCATGTTATTTTTAACCATCCAGCTACAGGATAATGACCTGTAAGTTTTCCGCAGATCGAGAACAACTCCCGTTTGGTTACTTTAGACACTGCATGCGGAATCCTGTTGGCTCTGGAAAATATGAGATCTCTTGTGGAATCAGATTTCAACTTCAATCCTAACGCAGCGCCACCATCCAATGGCTCTGGTTCTTTAGTTGTCAACCCATAGTTTCCCAGGTGCTTCACCAGTGCAGCTGATGTTACCTTGCTCTCATCCAGCAGAATGTTATCAATGCAGGACTGCGTGGCAGAGTCTATCTTCTCATCCTTACTCATGATGCGGGGTGCCGATGTAAGACCGAATCCAAGTCTTGTCAGGCAAATAAGCTTAACCTTTGAAATTCACTAGTTGATACTTTCATAGATCTTGTGACTCCCGAATTTGAAGGTAAGCTCCTTTCAGGTCGACAATCGTTGCTGCACCTGTCGTCTGTCTCCACTCTCGCAATGTCTCGCCGCATAAATCCGTGAAGTCCCCCCCCGTGTGACTACTTACATATTTATTCAGCTCTCCGTAGTCAAAGACAGGTCTTACCTTGTTCTTGGTAGGTTGAACAACAGCTTAAGCGAAATTATGCCTAATTCTACTGTCTCATTTCATGGTAAAAGTATTCCTTCTTCTATCCAACTTTGTATCTCTTTCTCAAACCCTTCCGTAGTCTCCATATCCATCTGTTTACCATACCATCCGATCTTATTCTTCAAGTGGGGAGGATCCCTTTTCCATTTCCACTCTACTGTCCATGTATTGCCATAAAAAACTGCTTTAAAATCACTGTCGTCAATAACCTCAACCTCACTGTGTTCGTAAACAGCGCTCTCTGCTCGCTTTTTGTTCCTCCCTGCCTGGTCTGGTGGATCAGATTCAGTTTCCATTTCCGCTGCCCCACACCATTTGACACCAAACTCAACTGTACCATGTTTGACTGAAACTCCTCCCAGGCTATTTATAGCATCCATTCCCAGCAACACATCAATATCAGACAGAATAGAATCTGAGACAATTGCATTTACGGAGACCGAGACTCCTCGCACGTCAATGATTAGCTCTTTCTTCCCCTGACACTTCACGCGTGAACCATCAAAAGTTACCATATTATAGTTCTCGCTCTCGCAATTTCCGACTACGTGTGAACTGACCACTTTTACCATACAACCTGTATCTACCAATGCTTTGACTTTAGCTCCCTTCACGTCAACTTGAATTATCGGTAAAGACTGCGCCCTCTTTTCAAACGGGTAGCTGCCGGCGCAGCAGCCACCCGAAGCTAGTTTTCCTGTTTCTACAGACAGACACCGTTTCCCCTCTGACTGCATCGACTGGCTATGTGCACAACTCCATTGCAGTGGTAGCAAACAATGTCAGCACGATGACTAAAAAAACTTAGCCATAAGGGGTCCACCACACCGATAACAATAGTCTTTAAATGCCCTCACACGTTGACTGTGGCTTCCCATTTCGTTTGCCATGGCTCCGCCTGCCGCCGCAACACGGACCATTCCAGTCTTGCTTGCCGTAAGGATCCTAGCTCTTGCTATTACATCTGACAGTTCAACTTCGATGACCCAGCTCATCTGTTGGAGATCACACGATATCAGGTCAGGGAATCCACTTACAAAGGATAGCCTAACCATTCTATCCAGTTCGCTGCCTGAAAATCCAGCCAACCCTCCCAATCTCCTTCGTTCGCGAATACATCAACATGCTCACCGTCCCACCTCCTTTGTGTCAACTTATTGAACGCAACAAATGAGCTGTCTGTGAATGCCTCTAGAAGACGCTTCTCGGTTGTCTGATATTGTGATCTTTCGAGCTCACTGAGCTGTAAGTAGTGTAAGTACAACGCCAATGCATTACCCTCCAGGAACAGCGGTGGCTGGTTGGATAAACTTCGCAAGATCCTGAATGTTCTTCAAACCCACGACGAGTTTAACCTTAGCCAACCATGCAACAACTTCACTATTGCCACTGAATGGCTTGACCATGTCCGTCGTTATTTTCGATGCCATCACTAGCACTTAATATCTGGCTCTAGATAGAGCACCTCGCCGAAATAGCTTGAGGTTTAACTATACACGCTTGTTATTTGGGAGGACTTCCGTAACGAGCGACCACTATTAAATCTAGATTATACTCAATGGCTTCCAAAATCATGATGGGAGACCGAAAGCCACTGTTATACCATCTGTTCACGACAAAATTACGGCAGTTTGCGCATTTTTAGGCCTAGTTAAAAGTTTTGAATGTCTGAGTCGGGGATTAGTTGACTTGAATCAAGGCGCAGCAATTGTTGACCCCGCAGACTTTATCTACTTCCGTTGTTTGGGAGCGCTGAGTTGCCAGGTTTTCTTCGGTTTCTAACCAAATTCTCACCGCAATTAATTCTAGCAAAATACATTGTACTAATATTAGGGAGGAGCTATCAAACTTCTAGTGACTGGTGACAACTCTTTGCTCTGCACCTCGACTGCAACTCACGCAGTCTTCCCCAGTCCGTGGCTCACGCCTCGGCCTGCCCTTGTTTTCTTCAATGTCAAATAGGTAGCCTACTGTACTCGATTACGTTCCCGAAATCACCCAGCTAACCACAATAATGATGGTAATATTATTACACAAACACACATTAAAGTACACACGCGCGCACACACACACACACACACACACACACACACACACACACACACACACACATAACTTACCTAAGACTCGTCTGTCACACCCCTCCTCCCACACACACACACACTCACACACATGTACATACACCCACACAAAAAAGTCTGCCAAAAACACAAAAGGTCTGTACATACTCTCCAAGCACGGTGCAAGCAATTACTACTACTACTACTACTACTACTATTACTTCCATAATAATAAAAATAATAATAATAATAATAATAATAGTAAT